AATCAATCAATCAATCTATCTATCTATCTATCTATCTATCTATCTATCTATCTATCTATCTATCTATCTATCTATCTATCTATCTATCTATCTATCTACCTGTCTGTGTATTGTTTTTTCTATCTGTTTGTGTACGTGAGAGCTAGGTACGTATAAGTTGCAATTAACAATTTTCTTGTCTTGCATAAAACGTTAAATTAAATTCTTAGCAAAAAACTTCGGTTTATCTCTGTTATCTCGGGCGAGTGACATGCGCATAGTTTTGAGGACACACATTTACTGACATTTAGAAAAAAACCCAAGAAAAAACAACACAGAAACAAACAAAACACAAACAAAACACAAACACAGAAGGCCAAAGAACTTGAAGAACTTTTCGTTTGTGATCCGCAGGAGCTCTGGTGTAGTTTGTTTCTTCTTTGTTATCAGACACCTACCTTCTCTTTATCTCTTCCTTTTCCGTTCCTTTCTTTCGTTTTTATGTTTTGTTTGTTACCTGATTGTATCACTTCTAATCTTCTGCGCTAGTATAACTAATTTGTGTTGCAAGTGCCGTAAAACACTTATGAAAACGAACATCGTTTATTAAGGACACACTTAGATTATAACGCGCTGAGGAAGAGATTGTTACACAGGTCATTCTAATTTCCGTAGGTAGTTTTTGTTTGAGGTCATATTATGGTTTTTACAAGGAAAAACCAGAAAGTGGACAGTTTGCAATTCCGCAGGCGTGGTTTTCCTCTTCTTTGCTATCAAACATCTATCGTCCTTATCTCTGTCCCTTCTTCTCATGTTTTTGTTACTCTCTTCTAACACGACGTCTAATCTTCAGCGCGTTTATAAAGCCTATGGCTCTTTAAAAAAAGCCTTAAATCGGTCATCGTCTCATGTCAGTGTTGTAGAGTAAATAATCGCCTATATCACTTGCGATTTTTCCACCAAAAATGAGATCCAACAGTATAACCCCCCGTCCCCCTCCCTCCTCACCCTCTCCAGGTATTATCGTCATCACCATCCGGTGCTTTGCCGACTGGCGTGGGCGATCATGGACCTCCACTTCAATCTGTCTTGTATTGCAGCTATTGTGTTGGTTGTTTTTTTTCTGTTCTCAGGCAGGGTTTCAACTTGTCCAGTATCTTTTCACTCTGTCTGCCTCTGCATCTCTTTCCATCAAACGTGCCTCTTGTTACAATGCATCTTTTCGCATTGTGTGTCCTATGAAATTTGTATGCCGCTTTCGTATACTTGTCCTAAGCTGTCGTCTGCAATTTGCTTCATCAACCAAAACTTCTTTATTTGTGAGGCAGCGTGGTGGAATCAGGCTCTCGTCAATTTTTGGGCTTATAGAGTTATTGGTGTCATCTTAAAGCTTGTTCACTTGTGTTTCTTAGATTGAAAAAAATATTCATTTACCTTGAATACAAGTCGAGATATTTGCGAATGAAGGAGGTGGGGGTCACCTGTTTTCAGAGGTAAAATTAGTGAGAAAATGGCCGCCAAAGATTAGTTATCTCCTTAGCTTAGGAGTCCGTGTTAACTGAAAGTTTACAATTTTGTGACTTTAGCCAACGTTTTTCAGAAAAATCCACACAAAAATGAGTTCTTTCATGGGCATGAAAGGTGTTGAACCAAAAAACAAAAATTTGATTAAAATTCATAAACCTGCGGAAAAGTGCAAGTTTCTCCATTTTGATTATTTTGACGAGAGCCTGATTCCACCACGCTGCCTCACATTTGTTTTCAGACCTCATGGTTTTAGTAACTCTTGTAATTTAGTTAAATAGCACTTTGTAATTCTAAGATAGCGATTGCCTTTGGACATTGATGACTGTGCCATTTTCTTGGGTTAAACTCTAAGTTTCAGCACAAAATTTTAATTTTTTAATATTAATCATTGCCGTTGGGACGTTTTCCTTCTACAACTATCATTTCAAGTTATAGACACCAATCCGAAGAGGGAGATTTTGCATTATATTATTTTGATGTCAGACTATTATTTGACTTCACGCACGTGCTTGTGAAGCGCCCCCTCTCCCCTCCCACATCACAGCATGTCAGACATTTACTTCGTATTATATGCACAACTTGATACAAAAATGGCTGATTTTGAAGTCTAGTGCACTCCCCACCCCCGCAAAAAAACAAAAAAAAGCAAAAGAAAAAATAACAACAACAACAACAAACAAACAAACACAACAACAACAAATCAAATCAAAAAGATATCGTACTATACACGTTTGTTGCCTACACTTCAAACAGCACTTATACTTAGGAGAAGCATTGGAAACTACGTGTTCTCATTGGGAAAGTAGAAGAAAAAAGAGTTTGAGGCAGACCAGGAAAAACCTTCGCTGAGAACTTGAACAGATGGTTAACCGGAAAAAAACCCATAACACTACTGGGGGTTATTTTGAAGATAATTCGAGCTGAGAAATGATTGGCTATATGATTGCTGAAGATATGGGACTTGAAGAAGAAGCACTATACGTGTTTGTTTTCAGTTTCAGGCGATCGAGTCGGGCGATCGGCCCGATCCAGCTGTAGTGGCAATCAAAACAACATATTCTTGGTATGCACAAGGCAAGAACGATAAATCTACACATCCTCACGAGGTGTAGTCGATTACTCAATTAATCCTTACATCAGCTGACAACAAATTGAAGACCTGAGAAAAAGACCATGCTTAAATCCAAAATCTCAAAAACTGAGTTCTTGGTATCTATAAATGTTAATAGAGAAGACTCGCGCGTTAGTGCTCATGATCTCTACTGCTAATAGTGTCGCGCAAAAAAATTGGAAAAATTGCAGCGTATTTCAAAGTACATAATTATATACACAAGTCCATGGTATTTGCCTTTCTTCTCCGGTCAGCATAAATTACCTTAATTAAGCACTGTCTTGTTCTTAGGTCTTCATCTTTCTCTTTCCTCAGTGCCCCCATTTCTTCAGAGGCACCAGGCTTACATCCACGTTCAATGAACTCAGCTGTCATTGCTATGGGCTGCAATGTTACCACCTCGTAAGTCTATACAGATTTTGAGCTAAATAGAACCATCTCACTCTCTCTCTCTCTTTCGCTCTCTCTCTCTTTCTCTCTCTCTCTCTCTCTCTCTCTCTCTCTC